CTTATTATGTCATCATTCTCATAATGACACAAGACTAGGGAGTTTAGTATCATTCATAATGATACATGGATTTCATAACACATCTAGTATGCAAGAACATGTAATGAATCAAATACTCTCATAAACCATAGAAAGTATCAATACATCAAATGTATCTAAATAAAGCTCATAAACAGTACATCATAGAGCACTAAACCAACATCTTCGTGGGTATTGGATATCGGAAGTGCCTCACCCATTTGTGGAAATGTGCAGGGACTAAGAAGAAGTAGGATGCTGGCTAAGGGAGAAGCGGATCTGCGCGTCGGAAATGGAGCAAGAGTTGCTGCATTGTGTGTTGGCGTTTATGATTTGCATCTTCCTTCTGGACTTGTTTTACAATTGAGTAATTGTTACTATGTGCCTATGATTAGCAGAAACATTATTTCTATTTCATGTCTTGATTTGGATGGTTTTCGATTTGTTATTGAGAACTCGAGTTTGATGATTTATCGAGACGATATTTACTATGGTAATGATTATCTAGTGAATGGTTTATACGTCTTGAATGATCAGCCTCCGAACTCAACGTCATCCATCTATAACGTGAGTACTAAACGGTTTAAGCCGAACGACTTAAACCCGACCTTCCTCTGACATTGTCGTCTAGGCCATATAAACGAGAAACGCATTTAGAAGCTTCATCACGATGGTCTTCTGGATTCATTTGACTTTGAGTCTCTTGAATCTTGCGAGTCTTGTTTGATGCTCAAAATGACAAAGCATCCTTTCAAGGGGAAAGGACAGAGAGTGACGGAATTATTGGCTCTCATACACAGTGATGTATGCGGACAAATGAGCTGTCCAGCTAGAGGAGGTTATCTGTATTTTGTTACGTTCACTGATGATTTCAGCCGATACGGTTATATCTATTTGATGAGACATAAATCTCAAACACTTGAAATGTTCAAGGCTTTCAGAAATGAAGTACAGAACCAGCTTGACAAGACGATCAAGACACTTCGATCTGATCGTTGTGGCGAGTATATGAGCCAAGAGTTCTCTGACTATCTGGTTGATTATGGCATTGTATCACAATTAACTCCTCCTGGAACCCCACAGTGGAATGGCGTGTCTGAACATGATGAGCCTACCACATACCCATAGGCTATGGCGAGTCCCGATTCCGAGAAATGGCGCGAGGCTATGAAGTCCGAGATGAAATCCATGTCAGACAACCAAGTATGGACTCTGGTTGATGCATCTGAAGGGATAAAACCCATTGGATGCAAGTGGATTGATAACTCCTATTCTTCTCTATATTTTGATGAGAGTTTGTCTAGGTTTTATAGGATAATCACATGCATTCATAGGCATTCTAGGCGTGTTAGGACACAAAACTCGGTTGTGTTCTAGTTTTGCAGAGTTACAGGTTTCGGAGTGATTGGACTCGAAAAGGAGCTAATTGGAGCGTTAAAGGAGAAGTCCGGATGATGTACTCATGTTGCGACATTAATAACTTTCTCTACAGAGGTCCAAATCATAAGAAACTTACCATTAGAAAGAGCACTTCAAGAGCTTCGCGTAGACACCAAAATCTCTTAAATCCGACACCGGAGCAGAAAGTTATGAGCGAATTCGTGAAGACCAGAAATCTGCCGGTGCAGGGCCGATTCCAGTTGGAATCGGTCCGATTTCAGAACGCAGAATTCGACCCCAGGAATCTGGATCCGGTCTGGATCCACCTGGAAATGGCCCGAATCCAATTAAAAACTCTGTTTCGCGATTTTCAGCATCCGAATGGGAATAGGACTCTTGGGAGCCGCCCTAGGGTTATAAAAAAGCCCTAGCCACGTCCTAGAACAGGGGAGAACCTGAGAGAACATCTAGATACATATATTTGAAGAGCTTTTGGTGAGAGAAGAATAGAAGTTTACGGGATTTCGGGAAGAAGAAGGAAGATTCGATCGTGGAGACTACACATCTGCATGAGACTTTCTTTCCTCTCTTTTATCTCTTTTTCTCATAGCTTTTTATTATTTTCCATGAACCGTGAGTAGATCCACGACTATGGGTTAGGGATTCGTATGCGTTTTGGGTATGTTTGAACCCTAACTTGGATTTCGGTTTTGATTTGTTTCGGTTCTATTGATTTGCGCTTTTATTGGATTGATGTTTGCTAACCCCTTGGTCAATTATCTTAGATTCTAAACTACATAGAGATATGAGTTGGTTTCGGATCAAAATCAATAGGATAGATCGTATTATTCACATAGAGATATGGTTTAATCGATCTAGGGTTGATGATAGCGTTCTTTATGCACCTAGGGTTAACTCGAATAGATCGAGATTGACGAGTTACTCTGTAGGTAGGTAGTTAGTAGACCGAGAGGTGAATTCTCTATCTTTGTTGCCTGATGATTCCCGAATACAAGTCATAATCATTATTCTCGCATGCTTAGCATATACTCATACACGCGAATACGATCCCGACACCCGTAGTCATTCTTGCTTGATAGTTTACTCGTTTTTATTTGCTTTCTTCCTTATTCTCCATTCTTCCACTTCCTTGCTTGATTTGGTTTCGATTAGGATTTAGACTTAGCTACTGGTCCTTGCGTTCGACCCCGTGTTACGACGATCCGTATCCTTGCGGTGAGTTGTGAATCGTGTTATAAATTCTAGACTCGGTACACACGTATCATGGATCTTCAAGAAGAAGACCGACATGGATGGCAACGTGCACGCGTATAAGGCACGACTTGTGGCGAAAGGATTCCGTCAAATTCATGGTATTGACTATGATGAGACCTTTTTGCCCGTAGTTATGCTGAAGTCCATTAGGATCCTACTTGCCATAGCCGCATATTACGACTATGAGATATGGAAAATGGATGTCAAGACCGCGTTCCTTAACGGGTTCTTGACTGAGGATGTGTACATGACACAACCTGAAGGTTTTGTCGATCCTAGGAACCCGGAGCCGCATATTACGACTATGAGATATGGAAAATGGATGTCAAGACCGCGTTCCTTAACGGGTTCTTGACTGAGGATGTGTACATGACACAACCTGAAGGTTTTGTCGATCCTAGGAACCCGGAGATGGTGTGCAAGCTTCAGAGGTCTATTTATGGACTGAAGCAGGCTTCGAGGAGCTGGAACCTTCGCTTTGATGAAACAATCAAAAGGTTTGGTTTCTCACAGAACGAAGATGAGCCATGTGTTTACAAGAAGGTTAGTGGGAGCACAATTGTATTTCTAGTGTTGTACGTGGATGACATTCTCCTTATAGGGAATGACGTTCCTACCTTGCAAGACGTTAAGTTTTGGCTAGGAACGCAGTTTTCTATGAAGGACCTGGGAGAAGCAGTGTCCTACGACACCTGATGAGCGAGAACGCATGGATCATATTCCATATGCTTCGGCAATTGGATCGATCATGTATGCCATGCTTTGTACTCGACCGGATGTATCCTATGTGTTGAGCATTACGAGTAGATACCAGTCAGATCCAGGTGAGTCGCACTGGATCGCCGTCAAGAACATCCTGAAGTACTTGAGAAGAACTAAGGATGTGTTCTTGTTGACGGTGGGTCGGAAAACGAGCTCGCTGCAAGGGGTTACACCGATGCTAGTTTCCAGTCAGACCCGGATGACTACAGAACGCAGTCTGGCTATGTTTTCTGCTTGAACGGAGGTGTTGTTAGCTGGAAGAGTTCCAAGCAGGCGACCGTTGCAGATTCTACTACAGAAGCTGAGTATATTGCAGCGTCGGACGCAACAAAGGAAGCTGTTTGGATCAGAAAATTTATTGGTGACTTGGGTGTCATTCCTAGTGCTGATAGCCCCATTGCTTTGTATTGTGACAACAATGGAACGATCGCGCAAGCGAAAGAACCCAGATCCCATCAACGATCCAAACACATACTCAAACGATTTCACCTTATCAGGGAGATCATAGACAGAGGAGACTGCACATTTGCAGAGTGTCGACAGATGACAACATTGTCGATCCGTTGACGAAGCCTCTCCCTTCGTCGAAGAATGAGGGTCATGTTAGGGATATAGGCATTAGATGTTTAGCATTCCATGATTAGAGCAAGTGGGAGATTGTTGGTTTAGTGCTCTATGATGTACTGTTTGCGAGCTTTCTTTGGATACATTTGATGTATTGATACTTTCTATAGTTTTATGAAAGTGTTTGATTCATTACATGTTTTGCATACTAGATATGTTGTGAAATCCATGTATTGTTATGAACGATACTAAAACTCCTTAGTCGTATGTCATTGTGGGAATAATGACATAATAAGTCTAGTATGATGTGTGATTGATGATCATCGAGATGATCATAGGTATTGGATACGATCACAATCATAGGTATTCGTTGGAGAATGAAATACTGGATTGACCCGCATGAGATTGTCACATGGACTAGCGTCATGACTTGAATCTCATATGACGGTTCCATGATTGGATACGGAATCCGACATGAGAAGTTGCGTACTTTGAATACGTCAAACGTTCTGCGTAACAGGAGAACTATAAAGGCGTGTATAGAGTACGACACGAATCATGTACTGTATTGTAAAGAGTCAAGATGGGATTTGCACCTCTCGTAAAAAGAGAGAGATATCGCTAGGTCCCTCGTGTGAGTGAGACTGTAGAAATGTGTGGTCGCACTATAGACAAACATCGTCTGTTTCAGACAGTCGAACTCAGTGAACGAGAAAGCAGTCGAATCAGATAAGGTGGTTTGTCCATGTCTTATGTTCGACATATGATATCGTGATGCAAAAGGATCATCAGCCGGAATCATCACTGGCGTTCGGAAGATCACGAACAAACTCTATTCGAGATAGGTAGTCATAGTGTCTTGCTAGAGACCGCCTATGACTTGTATATCTGAAATAGAGATTTCGGGTTATACTGCTATATCGAATGAGCCTACAGGGTCACACACGCAGGGAACGTCCAGATCCTACATCAACTTGATGTAAACAACGCATTCTTGCAAGGCACTCTCAACGATGATGTTTACATGTCTCAACCACCGGGATTCATTGATCGTGACAAGCCCTCCTTTGTTTGCAAGCTTCAAAAAGCTATATATGGACTCAAACAAGCACCGAGAGCATGGTACAAAGAGCTTTGTTCTTTCTTTCTCGCAACTGGCTTCATCAATGCTCTCTCGGACACTAGCCTCTTCATCCTTCTTCACGGTGACACCTCCATCTATTTGCTTGTTTATGTTGACGATATCATCATCACCAGAAATCAACCAACGGCGATTCGAAAATACATTGACATGCTTGCATCGAGATTCTCCTTGAAAGATCTTGGCAATCTTTCTTACTTTATTGGCGTAGAAGTTACTAAAACAAAGACGGGCATTCTTCTAACTCAAGAACGCTATATTACGGACCTCCTTACTCGGCATATGATGCAAGATGTCAAGCCAGTTTCAACACCCATGTCTTCGACCGCGAAACTGTCCCTCCACTCCGAATCAAAACTTGATGATGCAACCCGATACCGAAAAGTTATTGGTAGCCTACAGTATCTCATGCTCACTCGCTCGGACATTGTTTACTCGGTGAATAAGCTCTCTCGCTACATGCATTGTCCGACAACCGAGCATTGGCAAGCCGCGAAACGGATTCTCCGCTATCTTGGGGGTACTCGGTCGCATGGCATTCATTACTCCCGCAATAACGTTTCCTCTTTACATGCTTATTCGGATGCGGATTGGGGTGGTGATCGCGATGATTTTAGCTCAACCGGCGGCTATATTGTCTACCTAGGCAGCCATCCTATTTTATGGTCATCGAAGAAGCAAAAATTTGCGGTCAAATCTTCAACGGAAGCCGAGTATAAGTCGGTTTCCTCAACGGCTTCCGAGGTCCAATGGGTAACGCTCTTCTATCCGAGCTTAGAGTCTCTATTCTATCTATTCCGGTGATCTACTGTGACAATGTTGGTGAAACCTATTTGTCGGCAAACCCGGTATTCCACTCTCACATGAAACATGTTACTATAGACTATCACTACATTCGTGGTCTTGTGCAAGACAAGAAGATACGTTTTGCACATATTTCAGCATCGGATCAACTTGCGGACACTCTAACGAAGCCTCTACCTCGGCTGAAGTTCGACACTATTTTATCCAAGATTGGCCTCTCATCCGCGTCCATCATGCGGGGACATATTGATGTCGCAAATCTAGGTGAATAAATTTCGATCAAGTGATAAATTCCTAGACTCAACAAATTCCGCAAGTGTACGGATCGTGTGTAGTAGCTAGGGTCGAACACAGGGACAAAATTAAACAAAAGAGTTAAACCCAAATCCAAATCTAAATCCAAGAAAAATAATAAGAATGTGGAGAATGGAATGTCGAGAACAAAGCAATTAACTAAAACGGTTGTGGACAATCAATGGAAAACACTGCAGGCGTCGGGATTGTTTTACATGCAAGGATCTTTCAAAAGATGCAAACGAAGTGGTTTATCTATCCAATTCAGGGAATTCAAGCTCTAAAGTAGAGATTAACTCTCTCGAGTCTAACCTCACTATCCAGACTTTATCCTACTAATCTCTCGATTCAATAGTTTAAATCCCTGGATGCATGAACGAACGCTATCATAATCCCTAGGCAAATATTGATCCCTCAATGCAATACCTGTTCTATTTATTGAGTTATTTCCATGTTAGAACCTCATACGTCTACGCGAATTAAAACCCTAAGTTCATTCAATCAAGTGGCCAACAAGATCAAACGCATTAAACGCAACTCAATAAACTGAATCAAATAAATAATACCACATAGTCTGAAATTAAAAATCAAAGATCCCTACATAACAAATCCTAACCCGCAGCAAGGGGATTACTCGCTATGCATCGAAACGACAGGGTTCATATCAATACAACAAGACATTGTAAAATAGAATAAGGAAGAAACTCTTAGTCGATTTCTCGGCTTCGTGATCTTCGTCTTCTACTCCAATCTCTTGCTTCCTGATAATCTCCCTCTTTTTCTCTGCTCTTGGGTGACTATTCTGCTAAAAATTCGGAATCCTTGAAACCTAGAAGCTTTCTCCCTTTTATTTCTTTCTGTTTTGGCTGAAATCGGAATGTTTCCAAAAACTTCGCCTGAGAACCGATCGTTTCTTCATATGGTGAACCGATCAGTTCATATTTCTGAGCAATTCTTCAATTTCCGCCGATCGAACCGATCGGTTCTCTCACTATGAACCGAACGGTTTCTCCTTCTGAGTAAATCTTCTGTTCTTGTCCGCGAGGCGAAACGATCGTTTCGGAATACCCTGAAACGATCGGTTCTTGCTTCTGATTCCAAATTCGGTTGGTTTTCGCTCCTTTTTCTGCCCGTAATGCGTAGTACCTGTAAAGATTAAAGCAAAGTGAAACCGAAGCTAAACACGCACTTAAACGTCTAAGATATCATAAAGTCAGGTAAATGTGTCGGACGAATCATATAAAAATCCATGATATATTGCGTGTTATCACATATTAAGGAGTATCAATCAGTTAGAGGAAAATCTGCACATTTGTAATCTTACCATATTCTAATCCCTTGACTATAGCTACGTTAAGACTATATATATCTCATTGTAAGATCATTATTGAAATCATTCAATCAAATATTTATTTAAACATTATAGTATATAAAACAGTTTTAGCAAAAAGAGGATATTTTGCTGATTGAAAACTAGTTTTGAAAAAAAAAACATAAATAAATATTTTCGGTTGTTTTGGTATTTTGGAAAATAAATTATAGTTTGTAAATCTTGATTTTTTTTAATAGTATGTGAGTTAACATTTTTGATATAGCTAACTAACGGTATCTATTAAAAAAAATATCCACCAAAATATTTTTTTAATTGACGTTAATTATAACAAATTTATTACTTAAAACATATGACCTAATTTGATCAAATATACGCTCCTCCCACGATCATAACTAATATCAAACTGATAAATAATTTTCTACTTTTATTGTAATTCATTAATCAAATTTATCTCTTTCGTATCTCCGCCCATAAAGTATTTCCCATTAATTCGTGGAAATCACACTCAACTTTGCACCAATTGGACCATTTTATGTCATGCTCTTAAGTGCATGCATGGATCTTTGGTTCCCTATCCATCTAAAGCAGAAAAAAATGAAAGAATAAGGCTTTGAATAAAGAGACCAAAACTCTATATAACATTACTATTTAAGTTAGTGGCCAATATTGTTCCATTATTTTTTATAAAAAAAAAAAAGAAAAAAAAAAGAAAAAAAAAAGAAAAAAAAGATAGAGTTCCTTTATATCACAACATTTTTTTTAATAAAGTGACAAAAACGTAATGGGCGACCAACTTTTTAGTGGTAAATTTCGTCACGCTACCACATTCCATTACAAGTGATCTCATATACACACATATATATATATGTATATGCATGTATATGTATAAAGTACCTTCGAAGCCAGAAGAGAAACCACTGAAAAAATGGGGACATTCTTGGGACATTTCGTACCAGGTCTTTCTCTTGCATTCCTGGGACTATGGCATGTGTTAAACACTATCAGATGTTATTGTTTCAAAGCCTCCGAGGATTTCTCCGTTAGATTCTGGTTCCCGTTTCCGAAATCTAAGCATATTGAGCTAATCTCAATCCTCTTCTTCTCGCTACTCTCGATCGTTCTTCTTGCCCTCGATTTCCCTTCCTTTAGCTTCACTTTCAAACCCGACAACCTTGAACACGCTTCAATGTTCCTACACCTCGCTATATTCGTGGGTTTCGCGTTGTTTTGTGAAGTAACCCTTTCTTCAGACATGTTCTCCGGATTCATTGGAGTTCTTTTGGCTTCTGTCTTCGGACAGGAACTATTCCTCCTGCATTTTCACTCCACTGATCATGTAGGCCTTGAAGGGCATTACCATTTCCTCCTCCAGCTCGTGGTTTTCGTCTCTTTCTTATCGGCCTTAGCCTCGAGTTTTTACCCTAAAAGCTTCTCTTCAGCTCTTGTTCTCTCCGTTTCGGTTCTTTTCCAAGGTTGCTGGTTCTTGAACATGGGTTTCATGCTCTGGGTTCCAAGATTTGTCCCAAAGGGTTGTGTTAGTACACCATATCATAGAAACCCTAACGTAGCTCATGGTGCCGTGGCCTGCAAGTCACTTGGAGCGGAGAATAGGGCAAAAGCGTTGGCGAATCTTCAGTTCAGTTGGATTCTGTCTATCATAACGATTTGCACATGTGCCTTGTGCCTCAAGTTGTCCGCGAAAGCTGCCTTGCCGAAGAAGTGTCAATCTTCTGAGTACGAGCGTCTTTGTCGCCAAGGCAACGAGTGTTCCGTGGCCGTGAAAGCAGCAACGTCTTCGGATCAAAGATAGATGTTATTTGTGTTATATATATGTATATGTATATATACTGTTACTTTTCTTGTTTTGTACCCTCCTTTCAAAAGAGATTCACACGAACTTCTCTCTTGCTTTGAATGTACAAACAAACACAAAAAACGTTTCTGAATTTCACTTCATTATAAAAAGGATACAAAAACAGAACACACCAAACAGACTTATAAATACAGACATGTAACTGCTATATTGCAGTTTTTTTACAGTTTCACAAACTTTATATATAACAACTGACATATAACTTAATCTAAATTATTACAGAAGAACAACTCCTCATCTGCATCAATAACTTAACAAAACATTGAACCATTATCCAACACTCCTCCTTGGTTCAAGGTTTTGAACCTTTCCCATAAGTCAGTCAACGTGTATCCCCATAAAGAGTTCTTCAACTTCATTTGCTTTAGCTTTCTGTGCTTCAACATGCTTTTCCTTACAAATCCTTTCAACATGTCCCATTTTGTTGCATTTCCTACATTTGACATCGGGCCTCTTCCAACATTTCCAATGGGGATGTCCGCTTTTGTTGCAATGTTTGCAAGGTTCTCCAGATTTTTCTTTCTCTGCATTGTTTATTTTTACTTTTGCTGTCAAAGCACCTTCTGCAGACTCCTTTTTCATGGGCTCCTCCTTTCTCATAAGCATTCTTTGCTCTTGTGCTTGGAGAGCACTAATAAGTTCAGGAAGTGTCAGATCTGAAACTTCTTTATTGTTTTCAAGCGAAGCCAATGTTGCCTCGAATCTTTCCGGTATTGAAACCATAATCTTCTGCACTAACTTTCGATCCTCCACATCGGTGCCCAATATCCTGATTTGATCCACAATGCTGATCAACCGGTCAGAATATTCCTTCACCGTCTCATCGGGTTTCATCCGCTTCATCTCAAATTCCCGAAAAAGGTTCATCACTTTCATACCTCGAATTTTCTTATCTCCTTCATATTCTTTCTTCAGATGATCCCACATCTCTTTTGCTGTCTCAAACTTCATTATCTTCGTAAAGACAGAAGTTGAAACTGCAGAAATAATGCAGGACATGGCTTTGGCTTTCCTGGCAACCCTTGCTCGGTAGAGTCTGATCTGATTCAGAGTTGGATTTGTTCCCAAGGGAGGAACCGCATAATCGTCTTCAACAGCCTCCCAGAGATCTGCTCCTCTCAGAAATATCTTCATCTTGACAGCCCACATTTGGTAGTTTTCGCCATTAAACTCTGGAGGAGCAATAGAGGGGAATGTTGAAGAAACCATACTCTCGCCATTTGTCTGATCCATTAAAAAACACTCACAGATCCCTTTAAATCAACCAGGCTCTGATACCACTGTTACTTTTCTTGTTTTGTACCCTCCTTTCAAAAGAGATTCACACGAACTTCTCTCTTGCTTTGAATGTACAAACAAACACAAAAAACGTTTCTGAATTTCACTTCATTATAAAAAGGATACAAAAACAGAACACACCAAACAGACTTATAAATACAGACATGTAACTGCTATATTGCAGTTTTTTTACAGTTTCACAAACTTTACATATAACAACTGACATATAACTTAATCTAAATTATTACAGAAGAACAACTCCTCATCTGCATCAATAACTTAACAAAACATTGAACCATTATCCAACATATACACACTAATGGTACTTACGAAGCCCAAAAGCAATAAGGCCAAGGGCCAAACTGTTGTGAGTCAATAGATATCAAGAATCTCAATCTCAACTACTGGAAGATAAATCTATACGTTCCAATGAATTTAGATGCGAAATCACCGAGTTCTAGATATTTGAGCAAAATCTTATTAGATATTATTGTTATTGTAAGTTGAGGGTTATAATACAATCTTTGACACACCTAAGCTTCAGAAACAGCCAAACGAAACAAGATCTGATCTCCATAAGAACTATAGTTTTTGTTATCAACCCAAGAGAGTAAGTGAAGATAAATGGGTATTATAATTGAGAAGAGGTATCTGGGTATACCACTTAACCCGACAAGACTCTCTAGATCTGATTTTCAGCCAATCATTGACAAAATCAAAACGAAGCTGTCATCTTGGACAACCCGCTTCCTCTCCCTTACCGGTAAGGTCCAACTTATAGGTTCTTCGATCTATGGCTTAGTACATCTTGGAGCTCTGTATTCTTACTGCCAAAATATCTGCTAAAAACATCTGATGGTCTTTGCTCTGCATTCCTGTGCAAAAACTCAGAAAAGACGACTTGCTCATATCGTGTTGCATGGAACACTATTTGCACACCTCGCTCAGAAGGTGGACTAGGCCTTAGGATGCTTGCTGAATTCAATGCTACATTTAGACTGAAGCTGATTTGGTTACTGCTGACAGCATCTGGGTCCTTATGGGTTGCATGGCTCCAACATAATGTTTTCAAGCGGAAAGGGTTTTGGGAGACAAATCGGGCAGCCAGGTACTCTTGGAATCTTAACAAGCTGCTCGGACTTAAGCAGATGGCTCGTTCCTTCGTCAGGGTTGAGTTCGGAAATGGCCATACCACTCGATTCTGGTCTGATAATTGGACCCGATTTGGGCCCCTAATTGATTTTATTGGTGAGAAGGACCTCAGTTGATGAGACTGCATAGGCACTTCTTTGTGGTGGAGGCGACTGATTGTGGTTCGTGGAGATTGCCAAGAGCACGATCAGGCCATATACAAAGAGCTGCATAGCGCGTTAATTGGCATTCCCCCGCCAACGCTTGAAGCTGGGGCTGACACCACATTATGGAAGCATGGTGCGGATGACTTCAGGGATGTATTCTCATCGGCAAAGACTTGGAGGTTAATCCGAAACCCATCTCCTACGGTTTCTTGGCAATCTCTTGTTTGGTTTGCTCTTGTTGTCCCCCGTTATTCCATGGTTCAATGGCAGGCTCTACTGAAACGTTTACCTATGAAGGATCGTCTCTCCCGTTGGGGCATGGCATGCAATAGACACTCAGTGTTCACTATGTCTCTTGCTGATTGTATAAGTTAGTTTAACCAACCAAGACAAAATGAGAATAGATACCGTCCCTTGATTGCGAAGGTGGTATATATTGCAGGTGACGATTCACCTGATTTGGAAGGAGCGGAATGAAAGAATTTTTTGGGAAAATCAAAAGTCCATGTTTGTGTTGGTTCGTCATCTTGACATCATGGTTAGAAGTATCATCCTAGCTAAGCAGCGACAAAGGCTGAGAAAGTTCACGTCACAGACTGGTTTTATATCACGTTATAGGAGAGTTGAGAGATTTTGATATATCAATGTTTTGTTTACACATGGTTTTACCTGTGGCTAATCTCCGGTTGTTGATCATTCGGTGTAAAAACTTATTCTTTTGTTATATATTTACATTCCACCAAAAAAATTTTTTTACAAAGGTGGTTTATTATTTCTTTTTCTTGTTTTTTTAACTTGAGTTTCGGGGTCATTGTACTCGAACGGTCCGAATGCGAGGAATATAGTTTGGGCCGAGGCCCAAATGAGTTCTATCATGTCATGTACTAAAAACAGGGGGTCGAAAAAGTTCGACGATATATATCTGTCCGTTTGTACACAACACGAAAAAATCCGGAAAAAAAGTGGGTTCGACCCGACCCATCGGTTCGAATATTATTTAAATTATATATATAATAAATACACATACATACATATAGATATTCACACTCATACATTCAATCATATATATATATATATACACACCATAGAAAAATATAAATATTTATATAATATTGAAAATTATAGAAAAATTTGTTTAATACTAAATAATTAAGGATATAATATTTTAAAATTATAATATCATTAATAATTCTGATTAAAAAATATAATAATTTATTATGTTTTTTAAAATATATTATTATATAAAACTAAAGAATTCGCGTTTTAATTTTTTTTAAATTAAAATATATAAATTTGTTATCGAGCTTTTATTATTTTAATTATCACTAAATATGTATTAAAATTTTTATATTTTTATTTATCTTTTAACTTATTCTATATTTTTTTATTTATATTTTTGAAATATTTGAATCCAAAATTCGGTTCGTACCCAAAAAAAGTCTATATGACCGAGTTTCGTAACTGAAATTTTAAGGCTATTATATTTTGGCCGAAGCAATTTGGTCGGACCATTTTGACACCTCTAATGTACAACATGAGACAAAAATCTTTTCTGTTTCAAGATTTTTGTTTTTTTATAGTAGAACATGAAACAAACAAAACAAAGTAATAAAATAAAATAAAAATAATGGAATTGTAAAATAATATTTGAATAATTATTTTTATAATTAAATATATTTAAATAATTAAATTCTAAAATTTAAGGGAAATAAAAATTCTAAAACGCATCTATTCAAAATTCTAATTATTTGTGCATTCAAATGTCCTTATTAGGGTTTTCCGGTTTTCCTTCCCGACAACCTCTCTCTCTCTCCATCGAGAAACAATAAACCGAAGAGAAGAAAAAAGAATTCGACGATGGTTTCGACTCGGAGAAGAAGGGTCGGACTCAACTCTGATCCTCTCCGCCGGCCACCGCCGTCTCGGAAGACTCACTTGCCGCCGGTGAGTCAGTTCGTGAAGGTGGTTTTGGATTTAACCATGGAGTCAAAGACGCTGGTAAAAAAAATCAACAGAGCAGTTCTTCTTCTTCTTCTTCTTCTTCTTCTCGAAGCAGAGTATCAGTTTGACTCAGTCTCATCATTCTCTGCATGTCACTTTTGATTTGCCCTTTTCCCTTTCTGAGTTTTTTTTGTCAGCCAATTTGATGGTTTTTTTTTTTTTTCATATGTATGATTCTTATTTCACCTACAAAGGTGTTAGGCTGGATTTGAACAGTGATATGTCTTGTGAAATTCGGAGACCATCTGTATAGAGATGATTTATTGTTGGGAGACACGAAGCAAAATCTCCTTGAATACCCAAAATGTCATTTTCTGCTTCTATATATATAAGAACCCTAAATATAGTAAAACCTCTTTTAATACCCAAAATGTCATTTTTGTACTTCTATATATGCGTAAGAACCCTAAATTTGTAGATCTCTTCCGTATGTTTGTATTATGAGTCTTGTTTGTGATGCCATTGTTGTGTTCTGTTTGCTTGTTTGTTTGTTGTTCTCTGCAGAAGATTCCGCCGAGATTTGTGAAGGCTGGCCCTAAACTTTCAGACACTGTTACACTGGAAACTCCTACTGGTTTCAAGCATAAGATACAGCTTAAGCGTGTCAATGGCGAGGTTTGGTTCCAAGATGGTTGGAGTGAGTTTGCAGAACGTTATTCTATCCGTAAAGGGCACTTGTTGTTTTTCGATTTCCAAGGAGATTCCACTTTCGGGGTTCGGATTTTCGATATGTCTGCTACTGAAGCCGAGTATGAAAGCAACGATGAAATGGAAGAGGGTGAGTGTGATGGATCTCTTGGATCCCAAGGAAGCGAGGAAGAGGAAAACGATACCATTGATGTGTTGGATGGATTGGTTGATATTGATGTCAAGCCCGCTTCAGCATCCAATCCTCGGTCAAGTTCTAACAAATGCAAGAAAAATATTGGTTTGACCAATGACTCGGATGTGGAAGTGATAGATTTGGATAAATTTTTGTGTAACACCACACCTTCCAAGAAGAGAAATGAAGGAAAAAGCCGGAACACCCGATCAAAGATTGCTATAACCCGGAATACGAGAGGGCAAACTGCTAAATCCCTCTGTGATGGTAGAATTCTCTCTTACATTTTCTTCGTTTTAATCTATATCGGGTATCGAAACGAGTTATTAGTTTTCGTCTTGGCATAGGTGCAGATTTGATGGATATCGAAGTGCTCGAAGAAGATCAGATTCCTCATAAACAAGAATTTTCCCTGACAAGATGCCGAGGGAAGAAACTCAGTATATAAAAGCCGAGATGCTCGAGCTGAAAAATCCGATTTTTGCGGTCAGTCTCGAGACATGATACGGTAAAAGACATATTAGAATCACAATTTTCTAATTTGGTTGAGCAATTTCAGCTGTTCTTTGCAGAATTCGGTATTATGGAGATATCGATAGTACTCAGCCTTTTTTTTATGTTTTCAGTTTTTGCGACCGGCAAGATATCTTCTCCGGCTTCAAGATTGTGAAAAAAGCATCGGATTTAGGGTTTAGGTTAATGTATGTGTATTTTGTTCAGGCTTCAAGTTGATGTAATTAGGGCTGACTTTGGACATGAACGGTTCCAAACCGGTCCCTGTCTCAGGGCTTGTTTTGTTTTCAGACAGATATTTCGGATTTCTGTCGTGTTAACTCTAGGTTCAGGTTTTCTTTTTGTAAAAGAATATAACTATTTGACTTTTATATTAGATTCAATTCGTCTAGGATCAATTTTATTTTTATTCTTATTTACTTGGATACTGAATTTAGTTTGAAAAAAAATTATACTCATTTGCTAGATTGAATTCACGTTTAATTTACAAAAAGAAATCATTTTAATAAAGAAATTCGATGCTTAGGTTTAGATTTACATTTGTTTAAAAATTTGATTGAATTCAGTTTTAAACTAAATGATCTAATATTGAATAAAAAAAATACCCACATCGAGCTAATTTTTTTTAATTTAGAAACAGTCAAAGAAACGATTTCTTTTTTCTTTTTTAAAAAAAGGCAGAATGAGGAGATCCACAACACAAACAATAGAGTCGAGTTCCTGGTCGCCAGTTTTCACAATACCAAGACTGAATGAAGGGAGGAGATGAGGTAGGTATTTACAAACCCTAAGTTTCATGCCTACAGATTTCTTCTACTCATATTAAGAACAAAGTTCCACCCCAAAGGTCGTATAGAAGCGCTTATATATCCACATTCGAAAACCGGCATCCCGAATTTCACTTAGAACAGACAGTAAAACGGTACATAGATAGATTCACCCGAAACCGATGCAACTGAAAGTTAAAAACTTTTTCCGAAATTACGAAACCCTAAACGAAATTTTACCCGAGATCCTGAAGATCGATGATAATGGGGGGTGGGTGGCTGTTGTTGTCAAGCGTACTCGTTGACCCGAAAAGCCGTGACTTTAAGGACGAAATCTCGGGTTCTGAGAAGCTCGAAGACACAAACATCTCCCTCGCCTAGATTGTTCTCGAGGGTGAACTCGTACCATCCCTGGCTGAACTTTGCTCGCCCGGCTTTGTAGAGGCAACGCACTGGCCATTGCTTGTCCGCAAGTTGGAGTTTGATGAATCCAGATATCCCACTAAGGTACTTCTCAGCAAACCCAGAAGGCAAGTACTGTAAAAAAAAACCCCGAAAAAAAAGGTTCAAATCTTTAGTATTTCTTGAGCAGAGAGAAGTAAAACAAGACCGAAAAGATTGGGAAGTTCCGGTATTTCTTACCATGATACAGCCTCGGTAGAGGTAGGATGGTCGGAGAACAACCCTGAAGAAAGGATTTACGGGCTCGAACGTCTTGGCTGCATTGATGGCCCTCTCTCTTTCTTCAGCAGTGACAGTTCTCTTTCTCGCAGAAGCGCTTTCGTAGAACTTTGAACGGTTCTCTGAATCATCTTCGTGGGGAGCCGAGTTTATTTCCTCTGGAGGGTAATCATATTCAAATGACCTTCATGAGGATGAAATCTTCGGTTCTTTTGTGCAAATACGGGAAGAAGAAAAAGTCTGAAACCTGAAAGACGATATACTTACCGGGATCAGGGTTCTTCTTCTTCCTCCCTCTCTTTTTAGGAACTTTAGATGTCTCTTCAGCTGAAAAAGCGAGATGTCAACTATTTAACTTAAAAAGACTTTCGAGTATTATCACTTGATCAAGCAAGATGCTCAGAAAAATCGATTGGTTTCACCTCTAGATCCGCTGAAAAGGCTTTGAATGGTTGAACTGGCATACCCTTTGTTCACTGGTGCAGAATCGGCCATCGGGTACACGGAAGATGGATACATGACCTCCGCATCTTCATCTTCTAGGTCTTCAAACAAACGGGCACGCTTGAAATGATTATGTGAATCCATGTTGATAATAGAACCGGAATGGTAATTGATCTCGGAGTGGGATAGATTGAAAATATAAACACTAAAGGCCGAGTTTCCTTCGTATCTGAAAATCAAAAGGTAACCAATCCGAATGGAGTAACGCTCAACAAACTCGAGCCAACCATCTTGAAACCAAATTTTGTTGTCAGCTTTCCTTAGTCCTACACGCCAAACATGACCATCAGGTACAGTGAGAGCAACAGCAACCGAAAGCTCATCCTTGAATTTACTCACAAACTTATCGGGAACTCTCTGCAGGTATACCGGAATAAAGACGATAAAAAAAAGGACATTAAAACTTTTGCAGATTTTTATTTGAAAGAGAGAAAAGAAACGCACAAGACATTCAAAAAACACCAAAAGTTCTTTCCTTTTTTGCTTGGGAGATGATATAATATGCAAATGAATACAATACATCAAACATATCATATATTATCTATCAGTAAAACAGCCAGGAAGCAGAATGATAAGTGTTTACAGGTGTATGTGAGGAAGAACAAGGGCAGGGAAAGAAGCAGTTGCAGAGTAAGGGATTGCGGCAGAGCAGCGGATTTACAGGTTTGCACTTTATGCTTTGGTTGTTTACTTTACATGTTTTGTATTTAATTTTAGCCTATAATCTGTTAGATGGTTTATAGTTGTTAGTTAGAAGTTGATTAGTATCAGCTCTGTAACTGAGCTACATAGTTGTTATTTTGCGTTAAAAAGGGTTTTAGGCTGAATTTTCGGTAAGGGATTGTAAGGGGAGAGAGTTGGGATCCTCTCTATGATCAAGATCATCCGAGGTGTGTTTTCGGTTTAGGATCAATGAAAGGTTCAGATTTCTGGTTGGAAATCAGAGATTCAAGTGCAGGAACTTAACACATAATTGCCGAAGAAAACGGCCGAAAAGCAATGCATTCATGAATCTGGAAACACACTACTTCATGTTTCATTGCAAAAACTTGTATAACAGTTGAAAAGCTTTGGTACCACCACATCAAATTTCTTAATTTTAACGCTTAATTCTTAAACAGTATTTATAGTTACCAAGAAGCACATATTTAAGTTGCTTAAAACCGGGATCTAGTTAGCAGCTTTAGAAGGCGGAGATGAGAACCTCATAAGCATCAAAAGACTATCTAACATGTATCAGATGAAAGGAAATATGATGCAAATTGAAGAAGTGGAAATATATTTTCTTCAAGAAACATAAACTGTCTTTAATTAAGCAAACAAAGGCTAATAGTATTCATCTTCAAGCTTCAACTAAGTCCTCTATTTGACACAGTCCCTGTCTCTTTCTCTCTCCTCAGTACACAAAATTATAGGGTTTCACTCAAAAACCTAGAAATCTCAGACAAGCTGAGAAAGAAGTCAAAGTAAAGTCCAGGTCAAATCAAATTCCAGAAAAAACAAGCATCGGATTACAACTGTTTTCTCAAGTTTGTATCGATCTGGATTCTGGCTCAAAATTCACTTAGAACCCATTACCCAAATCACAGAACTTGACCTAATTCACTTTCAAAAGATGCATATCCAACGAACCCAATACCAGATGGGACTTTTTCTCACTCAATTTTCCACCAAACCCAAACAAAAACCATAAAAAAATTAAGGTTTTAGAGGCTTTCCAATTCAAAATCCACATCCCCATCAGAAAAATCACAAATTTAAACAAACGAAGGCATTTTTCTGTTTCCTTTTCACTGAATTTCCAAGCGAATCATACATAGAAGCAAAGAATCCAAGCACATAATTTCAGAAATCAAAGAAACTTCACCACCCACCAACTAAAAACCAAAATCCAACAAAACCCACCAACTGATTTCAACTTTTAAACCCTCAATTATGCAGGAAATCAAACAGAAGAGAAGAAAACAAAAAAAAATCAAAACTTTGCGAGGAAACAGAAGAGGCAAAGAGCAAGAGGAGGAGGCATTTTTACCAGACGCTTTTCTTGGATAGTGGATGAGAGAATCAGCTTGTGGAAGAAAGGGCGTGGCATGTTCAGACAACAACAGTGACGAATAGATAAAAGGAGGGACCAAAGGAAAGGAACCGAAGTCAGATCATGAAACGACGCCGGAGAATCCGAAGACACACATACACATAAACAGAGACACTGAAACGAAGGAAAGAAAAAAACCCTTTCAGATCTGAAGAAGCTGCTTTGGTTTGGTTATGGTCAAAGGGCTCAAAAAACACTGCTGCTTCTTTTACACCCGAGTGAGAGAGGAGAAAAAAAAGGGAAAAGAAAAAGGAGCAAAAAAAAAATATCCCAACTTGACCTAAAAAGAATGAGCGAGATGATCTGCGTGTGTGCTTTCCTGACTCGGTGAGTCGACTCGGGTTGTTTTCTCGTGTGGGTATTTTAACTCATAAAAAGCCGACCGCCCCCACCAACTCCACTTTTTTCGTCCTTTTCCTTCTCTCTCTTAATTAAAAATAATTCTTTGTTTATTTGTATTGTTAACTTCTTTACCTATAAAAATAATATTATATATTTTAATTGCAATTAATATGGTTCTGATTTTTCCGGTAAAAAAAATAAAAAAAGCTTTGTAAAGCTAGAGGGGGGCACATATAGTCTTTTTTTGTAAGAAAAAGAAATGAATTCATGGTTTTGAAAAATAAAGATCTTCTCAATACATAGCTCATTTCAAAGCTATCAAATTTATTACATTGTAGCCTTTTATTGAAATATTTTAAAATATGAATATTCCAAAAAAATAATTTTGAATTGTTTGAGTTTTTTTAAAGGTAAATTTTATACACAGAACTATCAAAATTTTATATATAAAAATCGGTAACAAACCGATACTTCGTAATAAAACGATCTCACCTATAATAACGAAACATTGATACCGAAGTGAAATAAAAGAATTAGAGAACAAAATCTGTGCTTACTGAGTTAACATGAGAAAGAATAAGTTCTCGAACAAATGGTCGTGTTGAGGGAGCTTAAAGTTTTAGAGAGATAGGATGCAATTACGTATCAATTGGATGAGCTTTGGTCAAGTTTTTTTTTCTAAGGTTGGAGAAATAATTATGAAAAGGGTAAAACCCCTAAAAAACCTCCAACTTGCAAAAATATATACAAACCTTCAATTTAAAAAACTGTCATTCAATATCCGAGCTTGTAACTTGTCACTGGATAAAACCTCGAACTTGCAAATTATTGTTCTAATAAACCTTTGACGGTTTGACCACAATTTCAAACGATCAGAAATCCACGTATTGACGGATTCCTGATGTCATTTTTTAAATTAAAATTGATAACGTGTATAAGGTGACATCAGCAATCCGTTAATACGTAGATTTCCGATCGCCTGAAATTGTGGTCAAACCGTCAAAGGTTTATTAGAGCAATAATTTGCAAGTTCGAGGTTTTATTTAATGACAAGTTACAAGTTTGGGGATTGAATGATAGTTTTTCAAGTTGAAGGTTTATTTGTATATATTTTTGCAAGTTGGAGGTTTTTTAGGGGTTTTACCCTTACGAAAAATACTACAATTCCACTCAGTCCAAATGAGATAAACCGTTATCTGGAAAAGCATTTTAAAAAGAATGCTTTGATTACAATTCCAATCTTTGGCATGATTATTTACTCAGTGCAGGCACAATTGTAGTTCCAATGGGGGACTTGGCCAATGTTTAGATGAGAAAGAGATGTTGGTTGTAATGCTCTAGGATGATCTGTGATATGACATTTGATTATGTATTGATTCATTGGTTTATGAATGTATTACTTTTTTTCGTTATATGATTGTCATGTTTGTTTTATTTCGGTATCCTTGAGTCATTGAAGGATGATTCTAAATCACTCTGGTCAGTTGTCATTGTGGGAACAATGATGAATTAAGACCAGTATGACGAGTGATTGATGCATTGGATGCAAATCACAATCACGGGTACTCGTAAAGAACGAGTGACTGGATGACCCGCATGAGATTGTCACATGGACACGAGTCATTACTTGAATTTCATACATAGCGGTTCGTTCTTAGATCCTCAGACCTGAGATGTCTAGAGTATCTGATATGAGGAGTAGCGTGTCTTGACCGTGTCAAACGTCGTCTTTAACCGGATGATTATAACGGTGTTACTCAGATATATTCACGAATCATATGGAGATAGTAGACATGCAATACGGACTTGTCACCTCCTTAACATGAGAGATATCATTGGGCCCCTCGTGGAAATCAGATTGTGAAAATGCGTGGCCATGCTATAGATAAAGTTTTAACTATTTTATCAGTCGATTTGCCAAAACGAGAAAGCGGTTGAACTTGAAGGGTGGCTCAAATCCATGCCCTTGTTCAACATATCATATCGTGAGACAAAGGATCAGAACTCGAGCTATTAATGCCTTGGTTAAATCACATCTAACTCAATTCTAGGTGGGTAGTCATGGCATCTGGCTAGAGGCTAACCATGACTTGTGGTTCGGAAAAAGTTTCCGAGATCACTACCACTTAGAATGGCCCTACATGGTCACACACCACTAGGTAGGGGTGGGCACGGGCGGGTACCCGAACATTTTAAGATATCTCCATCTCGATCTCGGTCTCGTCGGGTTTTTGGGTCAGAATGTCTCGGTCTCTATCTCGCCGAACTCGGGTACCTGAAACCCGGATACCTGGATCACGAGACCGGGTCCCCGTAAAACCCGAACCCGAACATAATTAAATTTCATAACATGTAACAGATATGTAATACAATATAACCATAACTTAATACAATCCAAAATATATCACATTTCAATAAGGTTCCACCATACATCATCATCCAAAACATCAAGTACAAGAGGATATTGAAATAAATGTCTGATTTTCAAACGCAGAGAGAGAGAGAGAGCGCAATAAGGCGGAGAGAAAGGGAGAGCAAGGCTGAAAACACAAAGAGAGAGAGAGAGAGAGCAGCACGAGAGAGAGAGAGAGAGTAGCAATGCTGAAAACACACACAATGCTAAAGAATCGATCCTTGAACAATGAAATGTAGCAAGGTTGATACGTGTGTACCGAGTCTAGAATTTATAACCCGATTCACAACTCACCGCAAGGATACAGATCGTCATAACACGGGGTCGAACGCAAGGACCGGTAGCTAAATCTAATTACTAATCGAAACTAAATCAAAGCAAACAAGTGAGGGTAATGGTGGAAATATGTGGAATCAATGGAAAATAAAATAAGAAAGCAAATAAAAGCGTGTAAACTATTAAGCAATGATGACCGTAGGTGTCGGGACCATATTCGAGTGTATGGGTATATGTTAAGCATGCGAGAATTACGATTATGATTTGTATTCGGGAATCATCAAGCAACAAAGATAGAGAATTCACCTCTCGGTCTACTAACTCACTACCTACAGAGTAACTCGTCAATCTCTTGATCTATTCAAGTTAACCCTAGATGCATGAAGAACGCTATCATCAACCCTAGATCAATTAAACCATATCTCTATGTGAATAATACGATCTATCCTATTGATTTTGATCCGAAACTAAACTCATATCTCTATGTAGTTTAGAATCTAAGATAATTGACCAAGAGATTAGCAAACATCAATCGAATAAAAGCACAAATCAATAGAACCGAAACAAATCAAAACCGAAATCCAAGTTAGGGTTCAAACATACCGAAAACACAAACGAATCCCTAACCCATAGTCATGGATCTACTCACGGTTCGTGGAAAACAATAAAAAGCTCAGAGAAAAAGAGATGAAAGAAGGGATAGAAAAGCTCATGTAGATGTGTAGTCTTCAGATCAAATCTTCCTTCTTCTTCCCAAAATCCCATGAACTCCTATTCTTCTCTCACAAAAAGCTCTCCAAAAGTCTGTATCTAAGTGTTCTCTAAGGATCTCTTCTGTATTAGGACGTGGCTAGGTGTTTTTTATAACCCTAGGGTGGCTCTCAAGAGTCCTTTTCCTTTTAGAATGCTGAAAATCGCGAATTAGGGTTTTTCTCCCGACAGGTCCGAGCCTACCTGGATCCTGACCGAGACTAGATTTCTGAGCTTGAATTCGGCCCACTGCACTTTGGATTCGGCCTTCATAATCCAAACCGGATCCAGTTGGATCCGGCACTGCATTGGCAGTTTTCTCGTCTTCACGAATTCGCTTATAACTTTCTGCTTCGATGTCGGATTTACGCGATTTCAGTGTCTACGTGATGAGGACCTCGGAATCCCAAGCGATGCATCAAACTATATCTCGGAGGTAAAGGAATGCATGGAACTAATGATTGCTTGGAACGGGATAACTTAGAGCTTAAGCAATGCTTGGAATGCAAGGAACACATGGATTGCTTGGAACGCAAGGAACACACGGAGATGTCCAATTCCGAGGAGATCAACGATATTTACAAGTCACAATGGGATTTCCAAAAGTTGAGGATTGCTCGATCAAGTGTTAGACCCGATCCGCCTAAAAGCCGAGCCAAGGCACAAGTTCTTCAATAATGTTCCAACACGTTCATTTCCGACGTATTGAATTAACTCCAATTCGAAGGACCAAGCCCAGCCCATCTTGGAGCAGCCCATGCACGTCACTTATTGAAGATTTTCGTCCATAATGCTGCTGAAGAAATACATTAGATTATGTCATAATCCAACAACTATAATCTTCCCAACCACCTCATTAATTGCTAAAAGGCTCCTACCCCTTTTGCATGTTGTTTTGTCATTAATTGCTATCCAACTCTATCATCTATTTAAACCATGTAAGAGCTCATTTGTAATCAGATTTTTGAAGATGAATTAAGTAATTTCGAGCTTGCCTCACTCTCTTGTTGGTGTGTCCGACAT